ATGGATGGATGGATGGATGGATGGATGGATGGATGGATGGATGGATGGATGGATGGAAAGTCTTAAGCCCAGTTTTATAACTGGACATTGTGTCAGCCTTATGGACAGAAACTGGAAGTTGGTTCCACAAAAGAGGAGCCTGATAATTGAAAGATCTTCCTCCCATTCTGCTTTTTTCTCCATCCCAGTATTCACTGGTTAACTGGTCACCATTAACTTCACGCAGACTCTCTCACTGGTACATTTTCATCTTTAAATCACTTCTTGGTCTGCTGCCTTCATACATCTCCTCCTACATGTCTCTATGTGAGTGCAGCGTGCGCTCTCAGGACATCATTACCTGCAGTGTCCCCTCATTATGGACTGAACTAGGCAAAAGGACCTTCTCCAACTCCGCTCCTGTTTCCTGGAATATCTTGTAAAAAGATCTGAAGCTCTCAACTCTGACCTCCCTCAAAGATTTTAAACAACTGCTAAGTTCATGGCAGAAACAAACGCAGACATGTTCCTGTTTTTAGTGTTTTTCATCGTTTTATAATGTAGCTGTTTTTGTTTCAGTTGTATATCATTTATTTTATTTACTTTTTGTTTTGTATGCATTTATATGATTGTCTATTGTTGTCTGTGCAACGCAGTACAGAGCCACTGTAGTGACCACCCTCCTGTACGGCTCCGAATCATGGGTATATACCACTGCCATATTCATTAACTCAAGCACTTCCACCAACGCTGTCTCTGCTCCATCCTCAACATCTACTGTACTGATTTCATAACCAACGTGGAGGTCCTCCAGCAGATGGAGATCGCCAGCATCGAGGTAATGCTGCTCAATACTCGTCTACGTTGGGCAGGGCACATGTCCAGGATGGAGGACCACCGCCGACCAAAGATTGTATTGTATTACGAGCGCCACAGAAACGCTACAAAGACCTCACCGAGGCCTCCTGAATGTGATTATATCGACCCCCAAAACTGGTCCACGCTCACCGCAACACCTGGCAGTCAACCATCCCCGAGGTGGTGGGCTCCTTCGCAAAGAAAGACGCACCAGCCTGGAAGATAAGCGACGCAGGAGATAGACCAGAGCACCCACTCCCACCCGACCAGACCTTCACTTGCAGCCGCTGTGGCCGAGGCTGCCGCTCCTGGATCGGTCTCCTCAGCCACAAGAGGGTCTGCAGTCTTGGACACCCTTCAGTTCAATTCAGTTCAGTTCAGTTCAATTCAGTTTATTTATATAGCGCCAAGTCACAACAGAAGTCATCTCAGGGCACATGATCTTCAGAGACGAAGCGAAGCCAGAGATTATTGTCTGTACCTCATTTGTGTTCTTTGTTTAAATCAGGTCTCTCTTGTAAACAAGTCCTTGCGATTCAGTGAGACTAACCTGTATAAATAAAGGTTGAATGAATTATTGCTTTTGGGAACTACTGCACTGAGAGCAAAGTGTTCTGTTGGGCGCAATTAATAATAATCAATTAATTATTATGTTTGTTTGGACAGGCTTTCATATGTAGGTTATAATAAATAAATAATAAATAAATAATAAATAAATAATAAATAAATAATAAATAAATAATAAATAAAATAAAAATAATAAATAAAATAAAAATAAATAGTCACTTCAGGTCAGAGAAACTCTTTGAAGCTTCATTCTTTCTGTTGATTGGTCAGTTCCCTGTCAGTCAAAAGCTTCCTTCGTCCTATTGGCTGAAAGTGTTTTTAGGGGGCGGGCGCATTCTTCTCGCACTCTCCGGGGCGGGACTGCTGGGTCCAGCAGGAAAACTACAAGAAAAGGCGAGTATCTGTTTTTAAACGATCGTAAATGACGGCTCGGATCGACCCTTTGTGGGGCTGCTTTGTGTCGGTGGAACCATCAGAACCGGAAGAGTTCGGGTTGGTTTGTTACGGCTTGACAAAAGTGCTAATTGTTCCCCAACAAACTGAGCAAACTTAGCATGCTAAAGCTAGCTGCTTGTGATTAGCTAGGCTAAGTTAGCTAGCACTTCCGTAAAATCCAAAACCTTTAATATACATTAAAAACAATAAGCTGCATTCGACTTTCGTAACTTTTATGAACACTTGAGCTGATAGTTACCACTGTCTTTCACATATGAGCTAAATAAAGAGTCAGGAAGCTGAAGAAACCGTAGATTTACTTATTTCTCTGAAACGACTGAAAACTGAAGAACGTTTTTATTGTTGGAGACAACTCGTTTAAACTAATAATACCAGCGCAGTTCTTTCAGGAAGACGTCTAATAGTTGATATAAATGTGTGCAAAACAACTGTCATTGTTGTGAAAGTTGGAGACTTTAATGAAATAAACGTTTGTCACCATCTGGAAACTCAGAGACAGTTTCTGTCCAAAATGTGAAACAGATTGTTTCTCATTTCAGTTTTCTGTTTCTGATACGTTTTCAAGATTTATTATGATTTTATTGAAAAACTTGGGCTGTGCTTGGCATGTTTATAAACTT